CAGGGAGGACTGACATGCCTCCTGCTTCTGGGGGGGTCAGGATGTGGGCTGGGCAGAGCAGGAAGTGCTCAGGGCTCAAGGATGCGAGTTTAGTACCCTCACCAGAAGAGGCCATTCTGTATGGGAATAAATACACATCCAGGTTCTAGTAGTGTCTGCAGGGAGCCCTTGACTGCAGTGGAATATGCACAGCAGGAAGGTACGTAGGAGTCACCTGCCCAGCTGTGTGGAAAGGCTGAGCCCTGCTGGCACGAGCAGAGTGCCACCAGATCTGCAGCGACGAGAGCACAGCACGGAGGCCTTTGGCCTTCAGCAAATCTCTAAGCCCATGCAAGGTTTGGAAAGGAGATGACTCTTTCGGTTTGTATTTACAAAGAAGTGTCATCATCTCATACTTGCCTGATCTGTTGCTTGCTACACTTTTTAATAGTGTTCTCCATGTTTGACACAAGGCTAGAGGTTATTCTGCTTTTTTAAAATGCCGCTATATAATTGACCGCCTGACTTTTTCAGTGGAGAGTCCAAGAAACGTGTGAAGATTGAACATGATGGAGGAGATTCCTCACAAGCTCAACTACATGCTATGTTATCTGGAAACAGATTTCCAATAACTTTTTGCTGGCCATTTGGGAACAAATGGCTACTGTGGTGGGCTGCACAGCGATAAGCAGGCCTCAGCAGCCTCTCCTCCTTGAACCAACGATGTTTGGGCAAGTTTTGCCATAGCATTCCAGGAGATTTTTGGCTGGTCACAGCTTGTCAGCTACTAGGATATTTTGAGCTGAACACTGGAGTGAAAAAGGAGGGCTAAAGATAGAGAAGAAGCTGGGAAGTAGGGAATAGAAGGTTTGAACGGAGCTGCACATACTTGATAACGAGTGGCTGTTTTCACAGTTCTGCAAAGTTTCTGACCTGCCCTGCTCTTGGTGTCATATCATGTAGATTTACTGATCCCTGCTGGGAACTTCCCCCCCTCTTCCCCCATTTCATCCTTGGACATCTTTGAATTCTCATTTTTGCTTAATGATTAGAGGAACACAGAATTTCACAAAGAAATTTAGTTGCCTTAATTTAAAGTAAGAATTTGTTTCTACTTCCTGGGTCCATGAATTAAAAGACACTTGTAATACTATTTTGGTTCCAAACTTTGTTTTGCAGCTCCAAAATATTTACCTTTTTCAGTAGCTGATGGGAAGGAGGGCTTGAATGGGTCCATTCCATAATTTTGCAATCTTTGCATTTGCCCTAATTTTCAATTTGGTCTGGCAGATTTAGTCTTCTTACCCTAATCTCTTTTATTCAATTAACAAAGTCCTAAACAAGTCGCTGTCAAACATGGGAAGCTTAAGAGAATCTGGTCCACAGAGGCATGCTAGCCTGCCAGACACTAGTGGGATTTCTTACCAGTAGATAGAAAGTGAGTTAGTGGAGCTAACCTGCTGATTCGCCTTCTGCTCATGGCACAAGCCAGTGTGCTGGGTCCCTTTCACTCAGGTGCACTCACTTCTGCATTTTAAGGAAAAGACTGACTGAAGTAATCGATTATTCAGGTTTGACAGTGACTGCTGTGAAGGACTTTGGGGAGTGGAACTTGGAAGCTGGAGCACTGGTGCTTGCAGATGGAGGCCTTTGTTGCATTGACGAGTTCAACAGTATCAAGGAACATGACAGAACCAGTATCCATGAAGCAATGGAACAGCAAACCATCAGTGTTGCAAAGGCAGGGTAAGTGGCATGTTAACATATATGCTAAAACAACATAAGATATTTCTCTGATACCTAGGAATTGGAGGAAGCTTTGTCATGCTGATTAAATATATCTCTTCTCTTTGTTGTACTTAGTAGTTTGGTTCTCAGCAGTGTCCTTAAACTAGATGAGTCAACATTTCAAAGGACAGTGCACTGCACTAGAGTTTCAAGTGATCAGAATAAATATATATCCTGTTCACTCTTGGGTTTCCAATCTACCAGTGTAGGCCAGGACACTTTCCTAACAAGGCTTGGTGTTCTTTTTCTTGTCCTTTGCTGCTAGTGGTCATAATAATTGTATGTGAAATGAGGGACTTTGTGAATTTTTTATTGGAACTCAGCAAGCAAAAATTCATTTCTCCAAAATCCAGTAATACTGCATGGTAACAAAAGAAGACCAAGAGATTTCCAGGCTGCTGAATTTTATGTATTGGCCATGGCATAAATACAAACTCCTGCTTACTTTCAGTTCCTCACTTTGTTTTTCAAAGTAGTGTGTGTTCAATCTGCTGTTTCCTTCCCCTGCCGCTTTGATATTTGAGCTCGTATCTCATTCTGTCAGTCATATGCAGCTCTTGTCCAGACCCAAATAATTTCCTGACTGGTATTGCTGAAATCTCTGCTGCTCCAAAGGCATCACCCTTTCCACATTCCTTCTTCTCGCCTTCAACTTGGCTCTTGCTCCAGTCGCATCTTCTCAGCTCCTCTGACTGATCGTGTCCTTTCTTTCTTCAGAGCATCTTTAGCCTCTTTGGCAGAGAGCGGACAAGTAATGCCGCTCTCACCTGGGAGATCACTCACCTTTGCCAGTAATGCAGCTGGGGACAAATATTTTGAATCAACGTGGTCCTGTCTCCTTAGTAAGATAGCGACATATTTTAGCCAGGTTCCTTGTTGCAGTTGCCTTGGTTTTGTAGACCCCAAACCAGTTTGCTAACTTGCACGTATAGCCTTGGTTGCTCACTTTTAAGGACTACATATAATGATGATTTTTTAAGTAGTAACTTAGCACAGATAGGTTAAACATATTGTTAATGTAAGGTCTTATTTTGATGCATGGGAAATAAGTTTTTTTTTTCCCCATTTAGTATAAGGTAATAGAAGATTTGTGGTCCTTACTCTCAGTTACAGAAGTACTTTGGACATGAGGCAGCAGTTACTCAGAAGCTGAGACTAGAAATAGCTCAGCAACAAACCAAAGTTAGAATACTTCTGCTGCTGCCTTAACCAAAAGGATTACGTTTGGACCACTAGAATAAAAATAATCTCTCCTCACATCTAAAAACACATGTCAGGCTAGCATGGTTAAGAGTGGAAAATGGCTGTTTCCCTGGAGAAACAGTTGATGTGGCTGCCATCATTGGTTGGTTGGGTTCGTAGTCATAATGTGTTTACACACAGGAATAAAACATACATTTATGTTATGTTTTATTTTGCTTTCTTAAAATGTGAGTTAAGCTAAAATGTTACTTTCCATCATAAAAAAAAAAGTGTTCCTTTACTGTATAAATCAGCAAAGTAATATTTATTTCTGAAAAGTTATGTTAGTTTTCACCATTTAAGGACGTAGCTGTATATAGAGATTACTCATGGCAATATTGGTTCATTACTTTTAGTATCCTGATCACTGTCTCTCTGTCTAGTTGCTAATCTCTGACTGAGAAATGCTATATATATAATATATATTAATACAATAATTGTGTATATTGTTTAGCTCTTACGGGCTTTCAAGGTAAGATATGCTCTTTATAACATAAAAACATGATAGTTTTTAACACTTTGGACTCATTTTCCCTACCCAATTTAATTCAACCATCATGTCCACCATACTTTTCTCCAGCTTGGTGTGCAAGCTTAATACAAGGACAACTATCCTGGCAGCAACAAACCCAAAAGGCCATTATGACCCTAATGAGTCTGTCTCTGTCAACATAGCTCTTGGCAGTCCCCTGTTGAGCAGATTTGACCTGGTCTTGGTATTGTTAGATACAAAGAACGAGGAATGGGACCGCATCATTTCATCCTTCATCTTGCAAAATAAGGGTAAGAGTAGTCATTTGGAGTTACAAGGTGGTTTTTCGTTTGTTTGTTTTTCATTTCCTCACCTTTCAGTTTAGTTTGTTATTCCTGAGTCTTTCATATTAATCAGTGTTTACATTTTTGCTATGGTAGTTTCCTGCGGTATGGTTGTTTTTTAAGTAGGAATAAGAGAGATCACTAATTAATTAATAGGAGTGAGCTGAGAACTCTATACTTTTTCTCTGTGACCATTTGCAAGAGATTTTGGCCCAGACTACTCAGTAAGTGAAATAGTTTCCGTCTTACGCCTTTACATTGATCGATACTGAAAGAGTTGGGGCTGTTCAGCCTGGAGAAGAGGAGGCTCCGGGGTGACCTTATAGCGGTCTTCCAGTACCTCAAGGGGGCCTACAGGAAAGATGGGGAGAGGCTGTTCAGGAGGGCCAGTTATGATAGGACAAGGGGTAATGGTTTTAAAATAGAGGGAGGTAGGTTCAGGTTGGATATTAGGAAAAAATTTTTTACTATGAGAGTGGTAGAACACTGGAACAGGTTGCCCAGAGAGGTGGTGGATGCTCCATCCCTGGAGACGTTCAAGGCCAGGTTGGACAAGGCCCTGAGCAACCTGATCTAGTTGGAGATATCCCTGTTCCTTGCAGGGGGCTTGGACTAGATGACCTTTGAAGGTCCCTTCCAGCCCTAACCATTCTATGATTCTATGATTCTATGATACGCAGATCCTACACACCATGCAATTGTACATGCTGTTAATGGGAAACTTAATTCAGACAGAACAAATCTGAGCTGCATGTGCTGCAGGGCTCAAGGAGTGAACAACAGTGTTCCCTACATGGAGCTCTGTGCGCTGGAATTAGGGAAGGCAGTGTGGTTTGATTTTAACTGGCCTCTTCTCCATCCATGTGAAGAACACGGCTTTGATCCCTATTAGGCAAGAAGTCGTTAGAGGAAACTTCTTCAGCTAGCTTCCTTCTCTTCCCAAAACATTTCCCTGCAAAAAATGTTCAGAATATGACAGGTAGCTTTTGGCTCCTACAAAGTAGTTAAAACGACCAGAGAAGGTGCATACATTCCTGTAGCATTTTACGTTTTAAGGAATACTAGAGCACGTAGTACTGACTGTACCATCTGGTGGGCAGGGAGTCTGACAGCAGTTCTGTTGAAATTACTGGAGGTTCTGCTGTGGATTTTGATAGAGTAAGCATTGGATGGTGTGTGAAATTCCACACTGGAATTTGATCAAGTCCTTGAGGACTAGCATACAGACAACCCAGTATGCCCCAAAAAATAGAGTAATGTGTCTTTATAGTCAGCTGCCTATTTAACAGGAATTCTTAGGAAAAAGCTTGATGTCTGTTGTTACTGAATTACTGACTAGGCAGTTGTTACGCAGGTTGCCCAAGCAAATCAGAAAAGCTCTGGAGCATGGAAAAGATGAAAACCTACTTCTGCCTTATAAAAAGCATACAGCCAAAATTGTCTGATGAGAGCAACCTGATCCTGGTACGCTACTATCAAATGCAGCGTCAGAGTGACTGCAGAAACGCTGCCAGGACTACCATTCGCTTGTTAGAGAGTTTGATACGCCTTGCAGAAGGTAAGGCCGTGGCAATTTTATTTCTAGGCTAACAATTAACCTTCATAAAATTAATAGATCAGGAGTATAATTATAGCCGATAAGCAGAGTAGCAGCTTTTCCGTAGAGGTGGGAATAGGAGATTCTTGTATTGTTTTATCTTTCTAATCTGAAGGGGCTGGAGATTTTGAATGTGGGAGAGGGTGTTACATTTAGATTGTCAAAATCAGTTTTAATTTTGCCATTCTCACAATCATATCAACCCCAAAACTGCTGGAAGAAATCACTTTTAAGAGGAAAATCTCAAAAGTTATGTGTCTTTATGAAAAGCAATCTCAGGATTTAATTTACTTCACTTCATTTGATTCCTGGGTTGCCATCCTGCTCAGCCTGCAGAAAGGTATCAAGTATTTGCTTCTATCCTAAGATAATTTAACATCAAAGTAACACATTTTTGTTTCCTTAAGTATCAGTAATCAAGTCTGTATTTCGCAATAGGACTTCAACATTTCCAGCTCTTTCATTTATAAGAACACAAGCAAAGGAAGCAGTAGGTCTCTGTCTTAACATTATTTTGTTTTATAAAATGGCATATCAAATATTTTCAGGATGAATTTAAAAGAATGTACAGTATTTTTGTGTAACAATCATAAACAGTCTTTATGCTTTCATATGCCAGTCAGCAATGTAGTGCTTCCTGCCTCAGATGTTTACATTTTATTCTTCCTTTTAGGAGAAAAATTATTTAAGTGAAAGACATTCCTAACATTTAGGGATTCACATGTTGTTTTCACATTCAGTATTTCTTCCATTCTTATGCGTTCACATGATTGAGGCTTTTAGTAGCATTTTGTTCTTTCAAAGTATGATATAGATTATATTAATTGACCTGCCTTTCTCTGGCTGAATAAGAACTGTGTATGTTTCCACGGCCAATTAGCAGGAGAGCTTAATGTGGTAAATTATTTACATTATAGCCGTTTATGAAAATCAGTTTTGTTTTGCTGACTTAAGAAAGGGAAGGAAGAAAAAACAAAGCTATCACAGAGAAAAACATTTTAAATAATACTGAATTTGTGACACAGACCAGTCAGAGGAAATCAAATCTTTTCTGACCTGTGATTAAAATTAGACTTATTTTTTTACATTTTGATAGTGACATGTACCTATATAGATAGGGATGTTTCATATCACATTCTTTGTTGTAATATCCAGCAGATTTTTTAATTCTAGTATTTTTAGCATCTTTATTCGAACTGTCACTGTAACTGTAATCCGGAAGTCACTTCACATTTTTCACTAGTAAAACTAAGCCTTCCAATTCCTGTTGAAATTGATGCTAAAATCAAAAGGATTATATTAATACTTAAGTTAGGTCCATACATGAGTGTTTGAAGAGCTGAAGAAATGTGAAGAAATATCCTGTCCCTTCTAGTACAAAAAATTGCTTTTTGACTTTGGTAACATTTGCTTTCAATGCCTGTTTATTTTTGGTAGCTCATGCCCGGTTGATGTTTAGGGATACCGTAACTTTGGAAGATGCTGTAACCGTGGTATCGGTGATGGAATCTTCTATGCAGGTAAGGTTTCTTGTGGACTTTGTCGTTGGTGCAATACCACATCTAAGGGATTTAGTTTATCGTGTAGATATATGCCAGTTCCCTTTGCCTCTTTGGAGAGGGTTTCATGAATTCATGGAAAGTAAGTCGTCAGAGACCTTTACAAGTCATTTTTAGGCCACCTTAATTATTAAAATCTTTAAGCAAAGATTATACTGAAAAATCTGGATTGATGATTAAAGGCCTGGTACCCTTTTTTTAATAGGCTTTGCAGCCTAAGTGAAGTTTTGGCGTACTGTTGACTTTGGCTAATCTACATTTTAAAGACCTTTTGAGTCAGAAATTGTGTCTATATTGCTGTGTTTAATAAATAGCCTCTGATGGGTTTTTCTTCCATTATATTCTCGTCACTCATTAACTAGGTAAGAGACAACTAAATCATTTTTTTTGAGCAAATTTCAAACAGTTGCCAAGACCTACACTTTATTTTGCCATTAGATAATTTAAAAATATGTTGGTGCTAATATTAAAACTCAGAACTTTTAGAAGATCAGTTTTGCTTTGAGAAACCTTAGAAGTCCAAAACTTTGGTTGCACTGAAAATTGTGCATTCCAGTTATCACCTGAATTTGTGTAATGTTTCTATGTAAAAAGGCATTGAAAAAATATGAAAGGCTACATTTTAGTTTACTGTAACATTATTAGGATGTTGAATATAAAGAAAAAGCAGCACATATAGAATTAATGAAAGGAATGTGAATCTGATAGAGGCTTTTTTTAAAATGGAAATATGGAAAATAATATCGACACTTGAGATAGAATATTTTTAAGGGAAATAAATCTTCATGCTTTGGAGTAGGAAAAAAATTACCATAAGCAGATTATCCAAAGTTTTATGCATGGGGGTTTTTAGCACGTCTGAAATATCTGAGTTTGGCTCTGTCAGAGATGGTGTACTCCACTGCACAGATGACTGGTCTGATCCAAAATGGCGTTTCCTATGTTTCTGTGTAGGTTGATATGAATATATTCAAATTAGAACAATTTTATATAGCACCCGTTAGCTCAATGGACCTTAAAGACCTTTGCAGGAGTAGATATGCTCCTATTTCGGAGATAAAGCTCTTCAGGATAGATGCACAAAGTCACATATGGCAGGTAGGCACTTGTGATCTCCCTTGTACTTTCAATGAGGGTTGAGAGACTAATTGCAGTTTGTGCCACGGATAATCTACTACACAGTGTTGCAAATGGAATTGTCTCAAAAATACTTCAGGGCCTGACCTTATTAAGTAGCAAAAGATTATTCCGCTGTCTGCGGCAATTCATCTTGCACTGTTGTGAAGAGCTGAACTTTTCAATGACAGCACTGCATCTAAGTTAAAATAAGAATCTGTACTAATATATCTAGTTGAAGCAGCAGAAGATATCACCTAAGTGTTCATTAACTGTAATTAAACCCATAATTAGCTAGATGGAAATTTGACGGGACATTGGTTTCAAAGCAGGATGGTTTGGGGTATAAGAAATATGAAATACTTATTTTTTTTTCAAAACAGATCAAAAAGCGGAATGTATGTATATAGTAATAATGAATGTGTGTTGTTATCTGTGTATCTCTCTACCTCATCAGCACCAATAAATGTAGAAGAATTGTTTTAACTGCGGGTCACTTTTTCGTATTTATACAGCCCTGCCCTCGAGGGCTGCAGTTTGCATAACAAACATCGACCTGACAAGTGTCAGTGAGAAATTTGCCTGAATTATGCCTGCAGAAGGCTACCTGGGAGTGGTTGGTACGCTCATCATGTTGCCTCACTCTTCGCTTCTTATGAGCAAGTACACAAATGTGTTGATTTTTTTCTAGGAATCTGCAAATTTGAGTCTGCTCTTTAAGGCCAAATTTTACTTTCCTCCTAGAAAGTTCAAATTAATCACTGAAACAGCTTCTTTTTGAAGGAAGTGGTTTATTTGTTTTGTTGAAAAAATAAAAGTAACATGCAAAAGTTTATTTTCAGAGATTGATTCCTTCTCTAGGAAAAAAAAATAACTATGTATAGGTACATCCTGTGTTTCCTGCCTAATTGTCGGTCTGTAGCATGAGGTTGTAAATAGGGAGATACCGGTGTCATTCCTGAAGGACTGGCTGCCACCTTTCAGTTCAGCAAACTCTTGTCTTCAACACTGTCTTTTCAACTTCTACAGAAAGTCATATTCTTGCCAGTATAAAATCAAAGTTCAAGGTTCTCAGATCAGTATTCAGATACTTCTTGTGAGCCCTCTTGGGAAGGAGAACTATCACATTTTCTTCACCAACCTAGTTCATTGAGGGTTTTTGTTTGTTTTGTCCTTTAAGTCACCCTTATTTTTTTTCCTACTTCGTCTTTGTGAGCATATTCTAATTTCTGGCTTGATCTTTTCTTTGCCTCATTTCCTCTTTGTTAATATTGCCTCCCTCCTTCTCTCAGTCATGTTTTCATCCTTATTTTTTCCCTTGCCAGTCCCTCTCCTTTTAATCCCTTTCTGCATTTTGTCTTCCCATCTTTAGGCACTTTCGCATCCTTCCGTTTTGCTACCTTTCCCTGTAATACTTTCTTTCTTTTTTCTTTCTCTGTTCTAGATCCTCTGCCCTCAGTTCCACAGCATGTGGATTTGTCATATGGCTAACTTCCTCTGCTCAAAATGACATCTCAGAGCCTCAGAAGGGCAGGTGTATCAGAGATGTAAGCACCAGCACGGGAATGAAACTTCACATTAAGATATCCTAAGTTCAGTCCCATCCCACTTATAATTACACACACACACACACACACACGCATTTAAAGTAAGATGATTGCGATGGCCAAGTAAAACACTGGAAAGTCAGTGAGGGCAAGACATAATTGTACTCTTTGGGCATATGTATTCCTTTTTTTATCCATTGGATCCGTAGGTCACAGGTTGACAGTACTCAAGCCAAAAGCGACTATCCTTTGCCAGTGTTTTGCTCAACGCTTTGTTATTATCTGCTGTTCTAAAGGTAGAATTCTCAGTTTCTTCGTGTGTTTTTCTGTGGAATTGATCTCCAGTGTATCTGAGTATTTCAGAAATATCAATTCACTTATCTTCACACAGTCCTTGTGAAGTGATGGGATGATCTGGAGCTGAATTATGCACGGTCCAGAAGGAATTGTCCACTGGAGCACACCCCATGACAGATGGTTTGGGCCCCAGTTTCAGAGTAGTAGCACTTTGAGTGTTTGAGCACATTTCCTGTTGACTGCAGTTTCCTTCTATGCACACACCACATCAAGATCCCAGTTACAGATTTACTGCCTTTCAAAACCTGTGCTTAACTGGCTCATTCTGAATCACAAGAACTGGAACTTAGTGTCAGAAATAGAATCTCGTTCTCCTTGGCTGCTTTTAACTCTCCTAACCAAGAGACTGGACTTTCCTTTCTGCAGTCCCTGCCTCACTAACTATGAACCTTCCAGTCCTTGAAGCAAATTCAGCAGAGAGGTCCTGCAACAACCTTTTCCATGACTACAGACTAATGCTTCTATGTGGAACAGATCTATCATGTTCCTGAAGTGATATGTGAAAAAAAAAAACAAGGGATAAATTCAGTGGGATGCATTAATGGTTGCATGGACAGCCTTAGTTTTAGCACTGTGTAGTTTTAGAGGGCTTTAATTAGTGTCATGGGTTAGGCCGCTCCGGCAACCAAACCCTACACAGTCGCTCACTCACCCTCCCCCATCCCCAGGGATGAGGGAGAGAATTAAAGGAGAAACAGGAAACCTGTGGGTTGAGATAAGAACAATTTAATACAGATAAGTAATACACAGTGTAGATGCTCACCACCCCCTCTTATCCGAAGCCCGTCTCGTCCCGAAGCTGCAATCCCGGACGAACGCGAGGTCCCGAAATAGAGAGGGAGAGAGAGAGAGTACTCCGAGAGTGGGAGTACTGGAAGCGGGGAGGGGGGCGGAGGAGAGGGAAGGCAATAGAGCAAAAGTGCAGCAGCGCAAAGAGCAAAAGCGGCAAAAGAGCCAAAGCGCAAAAGCCCTTCTGTCTGGCTGACCCTCACCTTTATACTGGGCATGACGCTGCATGATATGGAATACTAATTGGCCAGTTTGGCCTTCAATCATAAGTTCCACCACAAATCACAAGGGGAGTCGTGTCCCCCTTGTCCCAGCTATGCTCCCCCCTTATCCCGCCGTGCTTCCGCACTCCAGCCAGAACACAGCACACTGAAAAGTCCTTGGAGTCTCACTTCCAACCACAAACATCAGCTTGCTATCAACATTCTTCTCAGAGCGAGCCTCTGAGTAAAACCAAAACACAGAGCTCTTCTAGCTGCTAAACAGAAGAGCTAACTCTGTCCCAGCTAAAACCAGGACAATTAGTCACCAGAATGGTGTTTTTTCAATGTATTTTTTTTTTTAATACCGAATTTTTAAATTTCAAAATGGAAGAACCAGATATTGCTACAAATGAAAATATATGGTCCACATCATGCCATATGTAGCAATTCCGGTTCTAGAGATTCCGTTGACTTTAACTGCTCTCGTGGCTCTTGGTGCCATCTTGGTCGTTAGTTGTATTGAGCTCTGTAGCTTAGACAGAAGCGGTAAATGTAGCTAATCTGTGGCAAAATAGAAGGATTCTGGTGTAGTTTGTTTGTTTTGTTTTTTTTGTTCCAAAGAGCAATTAACTGCAGAGCTATTCTAGATTATTTGTTGTGGAACAAATCACTTTGTGCAGATGCTCTGCTCCAAATAAAAACTACTTCGTTTCCCACAAGGCACAGCAAAATTGTCCCAGATTAAAATCAATTGTTCTCTGGAATTATTCCTGAATAGTTAGTTACTCTTAAAGAGCTATTCAGAAATTTTTTTACCGGTCAATTTACCCTGTATTGAGAAGACCTGACAACCCAGGTCTTTCCATTTAAATTATTAGGCAAAGCTAATGAAAACTTCTAGCAGTCAGAACTTCTTCAGTTACAAAAGTTGCTCACATGGGTAGAATTTTCTCAAGGTATTTTTGGAAACTTCTTTCATCTTAATTTCCATTTTTAGTCATAGTCATGATGTTCTCAAGCCTTAGGTGGACTTTCCATTTTTTGTGTAAATTAAAATAAAGCAGTACAAGTAAACTGCAGGCTTGATCATATTTTTTTGTATGACAATATTTTTATTGCTTTATGTGTATGAGCAACTTTGCCTGTGTGAGCAGACCTAATAGGATTATTTGTGTGAATACAGTTACTGAGTAAATATTTGCTACCTTAAGCTTTGAAATATCTAAGGGAGAATTTTGTGTAAAATGGTTTCAGCTGTTTAAATTTGGTGCTGAATAATAGAGATCATTTTCTATTTTTTTTTTAATCTCTTTGGTGACATAGGGGGGTGCACTTCTTGGAGGCATCAATGCCTTACACACCTCATTTCCAGAAAATCCACTGGCGCAGTACCGAACACAGTGTGAACTCATATTGGAGCGACTGGAGCTGCAAGATCTTCTGCATAAAGAGCTACAAAGGCTTGACAGGTTATAATGTGCAAAGTAACAAAATAATTCAATAGCAAAAAAGAATTGTTTGACAATATCTGGAGAGGGTCTAAAAATAGAATGACATTTGGGAGGGACTTGTTCTTTAGAGGACATGGATAAGCAGGGAGATTGTTTTAAAGTAGCACTCTGAGATCATCACAAGATCATTCCTCCTTTTGGGTTATGGAATTTACAAAGAATTTAAGAACATTTTAATCAATTCCCAACTCATGTCTAAATTCTATGCTCAGGTAAGTTTCAGCATTGCTTGTTAGGGTCAAAATGCAAGATTCTGTAGCTGAGCAAGTAATTTTATATAACCTTTTGTTACTTGCTTGGTAAAATACAGCAGATCTGCTTCATATTTTTTAAGCCTCCTTTTGTAGTGGGATAGTCAGGATCTTTCCCTTTCTGTTAATGGAAAATATAAGCCTAAGTCAAAGTTCTATTCTTTTGGATTATTTTTCTTTTTTATGTGCTGGAATTTTCACTGGCTCTTCTCTAATTTTCAGCTCACTGCAATAATCTTTGGAAAGTCTATTTGCTGTTTTTAATAGAAAACTTCTAACGTACTGAGGCTGAGAGAAAAACACTAGGATTGCAAGGAAATAAAATACAAAACCCCCATATTTGTTTCCTGAAATGAGATTAGGCGCTAAAGAAACTCATACTTTCTTATTGTTAAAGGAAGATAAAAAATTGATGATATTAAAGCTAAAATAAACTTTTTCGTTTAAGTATTTTTCAGACTTATTTTGTAACTCATAGTAAGGACATCTTAAATAACCACAGAGGCAATAAAAGCAGACAAAGTGGGGTATCTCCAACAGACAGACAAAAGGTAGTTTTAAAACAGAGGTGTTCATAAGGGGTCATAAGAAATGTAGGATAGGATGGGAGATCAAATACAAAGACGGAATCGTTTGTGTTTGACCTTCCTGGCAGGGGCTTGTGTTATCTGCTCCAAAGGCCTTCTAATGAAGAGGATTTTCCATTGCCATTGGGTAGTCTGTTCCGTTATTGCTCTATCCTAATGCTCATAAAGATTTTCCCAATATCCCACTGAATCCCTTATGCTGCAAATTAAGCTGATTTCTTCTTGCCCCTCTTAAGCAGCTTAGAGAATACTAAATTAATGTCCACTTTAACACAACCTATTCTGTATCGGAAGACTTGTCCTATGCATTCCCCCTAAACTGTATTTCAGTAAAACAATCATGTATCTTTCAGCCATTCTCAATGAGTCACATCATTTCTGCTACTTTCCATCAAAATGTTGCTAATAAGCATATCAGTAAATAATGATAATAAGGATTCTAAAAGATACATGTCAGTATAGTGTTTTCTTTCTCATATAACAGAGGAACTGTTTATAGTGCATGGCAATCATTTCACCTACAGTAGTGCAGTCATTTTTGGGATAGAATGTGGCTTCTCTTCATTCATGTTTAGAATCACTATTTAGCAAAAAGTAGAATGCTATCTCCCTTGGAAATTGTATGTTTAGGTACAGGAGACAGAACATCAGCTATACTGATACTGGAGGGAACCCTCATTCTAGCACCTCTGTTGTTTTGGAGGTCCCTGAGAATACTAACAGCCACCGTCAGTGATAATTAAGTTTGATAGGTCATCTGAGATGCTTTCACTCTATCATGTGGAGTTTTTGACTTGTTGGGTCCGTAGTGATTGTGAGAGAAAATCACCAGCAACCGCTATTCCAAGTAATACCTAGGTTTTCCATTCTGATACCTTTTGAAGCTTTGCCTTGCTCAGGGTAAAATCTAATGAGGTTCCTGTTCTAGAAGATATACTTACAGAATATGTAATCTCTAAGGGACTCTAGCAATGGCTGTAAATAGTGCAAAGCTGTTTGTTTGGTTTCGGTTTCGTGGGGTATTTTTTTGTTTGGTTGGTTTCTCAAGGAAATGAAGTTTAGGTGGTTGCTTTCTCTGTCCATCTGCCAGTCTTCTATTGGGGACAGTAAATTCTGCTGCTTACTGTAGAAGGTGCTGAAAGCAACAACAGCTTTCGGAGCTTTATGTGAAACTTAATAATGCACTTTTGTGACCTACATTATTTGTAGCTTTTCACCATTCACACATATTAAGCATCACTAATGCAACAAAGAAAGAAAAAAACAGAAAAATAAATTACTTAAATTTTTTTCCTTTCCATAGATTACTAAAGGAGAATTCATGCCAGCTGCAGCCTGAAGAGACAAGTTTCAGTACTACTACAAGATGCTTGAACAAGGATACATTTGAGCAGTCAAAGCAAATATCTCAGTCAGAACCTTCAAATCAACAAGAGAATAACTCCAGGCCACAGTCACCTCCACCCGAAGGCATCTGTGAAGGGGTTATACCTCTAGAATCCTTACACAACCCAGCACATGATAATAACAAAAATACAAAACTCTCGATTAAACATAGTGAGAGAGGTGATGATGGCAGCCTGGCATGGTTTGACAGCCTGGAAAAGAGCAACACTGATGCTGAAGAAACTTCTGAGAAAAAGTCTCCAGTGACCAAGATATCTCCAAATAACTTGACTTCAAAAACCCTGAGTAAAACATCCTGTTCTGAAGAAAGAAGTGCTTCAATACCAAGGAAGGGAAGCGGAATGACAGAGTCACTAGCAACTGTGAATCTGCGTGCTCCTTTGGAACAGGACAAAGTTTCCAAGATAAGCAGGAAAAGAACTGAAGAACACAACTGTTTTTCTTCAGAAGCAAATATTCAAGACTCAGCATCACCAAGTGCTAGTATGCAGGCTTCAGTTATTACACAACGGGTTTCTAAAAGGTGGCAGAGACTGCACACGGAGAAATCACGTGGATTTTTTACAAGTACACAGGACCCCGAGGCAAAGGCCCTTCCTTTGGCATCACCTGTGTCTGGCCTGCCAGATCTTTCAAGTGATGCAGATTCTGTGTTAGGGGAGGAAGAGAACGGTGTATCTGTAGCAGCAAAAACTACAACAGTTTCCATGAGAAAACGAGGTAAAGGTCAAGTAATGAAGGAAACAAAGGTGGTAAGTTCCCATGAGCCAGAAATCCTTGACAGTGAAAGTCCTCCAGCAGCTAAACTAGCTAAATTTTCTTTCAGACCAAGGACAAAACTTGATCATTCTTCAGAGGAGAAAAATGAAGAATTTTCTCTTTTGCAGAGTGAAACTATTTTTAAGCCTGGAGAGCAGCTCCAGGGAGAGCAGCTGCCAGAAGAATGCTGCCCCCCTGAGAAATGCAAGATGACATTGACTCGCTTAGGAAAAAAGGGTTTGGAAAAACGAACAATTGATAATAAAGAGAGAGAAGAGCAACAGAGTCAGGCCTTAGGCAAAGAGATCAGAGGACGTGCAACAGTATGCTCTGATGTAAGTTTTGATGCTGTGTCATCTTCACCCACTGAAAAGAAAAGGGAGGGAGAGGAGAAGTTTGGTGGTCCAAGCACAGGGAAAGTGCGCTCCAGCACACTAGCCAAACTGTCAGCATTCTCCTTTGCATCACGTCCCGAGTCAAAATTGGAAACCTCACCTACCGTTAAGATTGACACTAGCAAGGAAAGCCACAGCCCATTGCCAAAGCTGCACATGAGCAATCCTAGTAGAAGGAAGAGTTTTGCATTGGGAAATACTAGTAAAGCCAGTGTGGTGGCACAGAAATCTCTCTTCTCGATAGCAGAGCTAGATGATGCTACATTAGATTTTGATTGGGACGAAGAGGTTAGAAAAAATCCAAGCACGTAACATGTCTATCCTCCAAATTACTTGACATACAGTTCTTCTGAATCTCCATCCTTCTGTCAATTGTATCCGTAGTTTACAAAGCATTTAAAAATAGTCATCCTGGACCTCTGTTGATACCAAGGACCGTACTTTCTTAAAGGGCTGTATACTTTACATCAGCTAAGGACCACATGTACTGCAGGCCTGATGTGGCTTTTAGTTTCCTAAACTCTTCCCAGGACCACTTGTACCGGTTGACTGTTTTGATTGACCTGGTGTAACCTGAAGACCTGTATGGTTACGTTCATATATCCAGAGTATAGTGAATCTTGTGGAAGAGCAGGTTTAATTGACTGTTACCCTATATTTTGTGTAACGGCTAGAACCATATGTGATCCAGATTGTCCTTCCAAATGACTGTGCCACTTCAGAAAAATAATGATGCTAAAGCTGTGTTCATCTGTGTATGCTGTTTGTCTCAGCGTTGTTCGCAATATTGTCATTTATCATCATGCTGTGGTAAGTGTATTATCAGTATCATGACAATTTTGCTGCATCTCTGGTTGCTGTGCTCCTTGTCACACTGCTGATGTTGAAAACATGGATCGAGAGCTTTTTGTTTCTTTGTTTGTTTTTTAATTTCAATTTTAAATATACTGGCTCAGGTATCTGTGTCTGTGTTCTGGGTCATTTTATGAAAACCCAGCTCTATAATAAACACACAGTTCTTCACTGGAGAGAGGACAGATTTCAGGTGATTGAATGGGAGTCCTCGGTAACCAGGGTAACTTTAATGCAGGCGTTAAGCTGTAGCATATAAGCCACACTTCAAACCTAGCAGTGTGGTGAAGTGCTGCCCTAGTGTAGCTTGGTTCTGACTCAGATAGTGTTTACTTGACCATTTTAATTGTGGTTAGAGCTTTACTGCATCTGATAGGCAGTTCATGTTCTGTAGCATGCTGCATCCTATGTCATTCATTTGTCTAATGGGAAGTGAATCTGCTAATGCATTGCGTGTTTACAGAGGAAGGTATGCCTTCAATTTATTTTGGTGACTTGCCTGGTATGTTTCTTCTGTGTTTGAATCCTCCACAGAATATTATTACTACCTGCAAGGTAAACAGAGAATGGAGTGGTTGCTTACAGCACAGTAAATCCTTTGAGAGACTCTCTAGCACAAAAAAGATCTGATTCTCTCTTGATTTGCTTAAATTTAGAAGTAGCTCACTTGAAACCATGTGAGTTAAAATATTATAAAATTTCAGAGAATGAGGGAGTGTGAGGCACAAGTGCTTCAGTGTGATACAGTGAAATCATGAGAACAGTAATTATCGTAGTAGGCTTAGTGTTAAGAGTTTGGGAAAATGACAGAAACATTACTGTCCAGACTGGTTGCATGGTAGTTCCTCCACTGGAAAGATGACATCAATTGAAAAAAGTGGAATTTTTCCACCTCTCTCCCAGAGCACAGAGCCGCTCCTTCTTGTTCCTGCTCACAAAGACGCCAGGGTGAGGGTTGCCTGTACTTGTGATCCTGCTGCCCATGAAAATCAGAAGTTTCCTACAGGATGCTGTGTCTACACTGAAACTGGAGAAAGCTCGAGAAGCCTGGAGCTATTAGCATTTATGATGGTCTTCCTCCTTGAATTTTCAGAGGCCAGCTAAAGGCATAATTTTTCATCACCACTGGAGCTGCAGCAACCCCTTGCATGGTGGTATCATTTAGAATCAAAAGCCCTCCTTGCTAGCTGTTTTGTTTGACAGATATTACTAGCTGACCAGTGCAAAGCCAGAGCATTGCTACTGGATCTCCATAGTGAAGCAGCATGAGCTTTTTTTACCATGAAAAATTATTAAAAAATTAATCAAATGTAATTTTATCCGCTTATGCTGGAAGTATTGCTTTATTCATCACTTCTTTCCTATAGATCAGTAGGTAGAGCTTCATCTCATGTAATTTGTTATGTAAAGTTATGTGATGAGCTGCTCCTAAGAACTGCAGGACCTTTTACTAAACATACTTTTGTTGGAGGCTGGTTGACTTTCTGTCTGCCCACTGGAAAACAAGAACTCTTGAACTCAGCAGCACAAAATTGAGGTGAAAGTCAAGCTCAAAATTCAAGAAGGTTCTGGTTTTTATCTTCTGCTGATTTCAAAAGTTGTTGCACTGTAAGACCTGCCTGAGGGCCAGGGAAGCTACATAGTGAAGCAGAGCAGCTGTTCCAGGAAAGCTGAAACTCCAGGAAATGCAGACAGCTATCTTCCTCACTAATGAAGCCTGTGAAGTCTCATGCAGCAAGGCAATGCCCAGTTAACAACAACTGTGAGAACATTCTCTTGGTGTCCTCAAACCTGTGCATAGGTCATTGCAGCTGAGTAAGTGGAAGATGGTTAAACCAAGTTTATTTTTGCATAGATGAAAAAATGTTTTCTCTGATTCAGTAAAACTCAGCTTAGAGTACTGAGGTACCGTACGTCCCACTGCTTTTCCAGTCATACGGTGCTAATCACATTTGTGGGCCAGTTCAGCAGTTCGGCTGATAAAATACTGCTCGATCCTATTTTTTATTAACCTGTTTTGAATTGAAGTCTACAGTTTAACTCTTCTTTTAAAGCACCGTCAGCAGAGCCATGGACAAGCTGGAAGCTTGCTGGAGACTGGATCTCTTAGGATAGGCTACCTCATGTGCCTAGCACCTGGTGGACTCAACCAGTTCAGTATACTGCTGGACCTTTGGGATACCTCCTTTCATTGCCTGAGAGCAGTTCAACCAAGCAAGATATGTGTACTGAGATATCTGAACTTAGAGGAGGCTCAAGTGTATGAGGTCTTCTGCAGGCTTGCTGAAATTCCCCAACAGCAAGAGGAAAGTTGCAGCAGCTTCCATTACAGTGTGCCTAGAAAGGGCCCCCGATGCTTGGCAGAGAGGGAGAACTAGGAACTTCCTAGAACTAGGAAGGATAAAGAAATGCCAAGGCCTCTGAGCTCCTGCTTAGCATGGACGAATTAGCCCACTTAAACCAAAGATTTCACTAGTGAGCGCGGACTCTGTACGTTCATTCTTTAACAGGCGCCATTTGTAAGGCCTGATTTGCGGGTGTCCTGAGTACTTCACAGCTGAAGCTTAAAGCAGTGAGATGTGTAAGGTGCAGTGTAATGTAATTCTGCTCTTCTGTCTTAATCTCTCCGTATTCTTGGTTGTGAAATGTGCCCTTCAAGATGAAAAGATAGCGAGTGGTTTCACTTAAGATACACTGTGTTCTGGGGGTAGAGGAAACAAGGAAGTGATACAGGTTCACTCCTCTTCTTGCTGAGGACATCTGAGAACCTAAGACCTCCCACATTTTAGCACCTGTCTTTACTAGATTGCAAGTCAAGCTTGCATCCATCAAAACAGTATCTTTGCGCATATCAAGATGAATTTGATAATGCCCAGGAGACCTTTCCAGATCAGTGAAGACATTTTGCCTATAGAGCTATGCAGCTCTGGAAAGAGCATGGCTGGATTGCTATCTACCACTTGGGTATGTTTGGGGTATCTAAATCCAAACACATACTGTAGAATTTAGGCAGAGTGAATTCTGTCTTTCTTTGTAGCGTCTTAAAAAATTTTTGGGGATAATATGTTAGATAGTATATCAGTAAAAAGAGAGTTGTCTCTTCAGATTCCCCAGATTAGAAGTAGTCAGTGTATTACTTTATGAAATGGAACTATGCTTCTTTATTGAGCTGAAGTTTGTGAGATTTGAGGGATCTGCTTCTCCCTTTCTTATAACATGAGAAATGGAATGAAAGCCAAAAGGTATCAAGGAAGAATCCTGCAAACTCCAATCACTCTGAGGTCACTCTGCCTGGAAGGCCGCTTGGACAACTTTGTTTCCCAGTTAGAAGCAGAGAGGAAGAGGCACAGGGACATTCTATTCATCTTGCAGGAAGGCCCATCTTTTCTATATTAGCAGAAAAAAAACACCGTTGTACTTTCAAACTCTGTCTGCAAAGGGGTCCTACTCACCCAGATGTGTTGGGTAAGTAACCAAAGAGTAAAGTTGGAAGAGGAAATACTGCTGAGATCTTTCTTTGCCAGACCAGTTTTGAAATACAGCTGTTGTGGTATTGCTTCTGGTTCACGGCGTGAGTTCAGAGCCTGCCAGATGAACGGGAAGCACACAGTAATACGGAACCAACACCTGCTCCTGATTTACTCTCGCCGTTGCCATTGCTGCAGAGCTCGTTTATTAGGCCTTGCCAGGGCACCTTGCGAACTTCTTTCCTTTCTGTTTTTAAACCGGCTTCCCCTGCAAACAATCATATGTTTTAATGTTTTTTGAGTGCTACAGTAGCCCAGTGATGGGAAGATGTGATCCATTATGGCAGTGACAGTCTGCTGGGCTAACCTACAGATCAATTTCCTCTGCCAGCACTTTCTGCAGTCAATGGGCAGATGAGTCACTTCCTGCCAGCCTACCTTCCTGGCCAGGCACCGAGAAGCCATCATCTCCTTCGTGTTTTAACACTTGCCTCTTTGAGTTTATGATGTAAGAATATAAAAACATGTCCAATGTGTCTTCTCAGGGTGACTATGCACAAATATGCAGCAAACCAATTATTACTGTTGAATACACTAGTATTTTATTGAGCTGTTTTTATCTTTATGAGTCTGGTTCATTAAAGGTGAATATATATATATATGTCTATATATATGTCATTGTCTTAAAACCCAGTCAAACGAAACCCTAGAAGTTACTGGTTCTAGCAGCACATTGATCAGGCCCTCGTTTGTGAGCAGCAGTGAAAAGCTTTTGTTAGATGGTCAGTGGCCAGACTCCATTGCCTAGGTTAAAACCAGATTATGTTATGTCAGTGTGGGACAAGATCATGGTTTTACTGGCAGCTGTCTCATAGTAGTGTTCTCCTGGATGTCCCATGCAGACCATGGTGAGTCAAAGGGAGGTGGAAAGCAAAAGCCCAATAATTTAATTATAGTTTTTACTTCTTTTAATTATATTTTTGCATTAAAAAA